CCACCAGATGCGAGAGAGGCACTTAGGGCTACCCTTGAAGAATTGCCACTTGCTGTCGAGGTTGCCGTTCTCGGAATGAGGCCGTCCACGGAAGGAGTATTTTTGCAAAAACCCCGGGGATGGGGCTGGCGTAGGGCGCGCGAAGACGGGCCGGAAGAGCCAGCCAAGTCGGCGCCGCGCTGGCCAATCGCGATGCGACGTTTGGATTCACTGGGCGCTTGTATGGGAATAAACCACCTGCTCGCCATCGTGTCTGATCGCCGCCGTAGCGCAGAATGCGAGCCACACGAGCCACCTCGCGCGATGCCACACAGAAATTCGCGCGTTCCGTTTCGGCGCAGTTTCCCCGCTGGGCTTTTTGAGATCAGTAGGCAAAGTCCTCGGAACTCGCCTGCGTAGACAACCAGCTTGTCTATGGTAGTGTTCGGCAACATGGCCAGATGCCGCTGCAGCGGTCACCCCGGGGTGTATTAGCAACAGGCGGTTGGCTCGCCTTTCACGCAATATCCACGCGTCTAAAATTTGTAATTTCCATCGTGTTGCACTTGAGTCCGCTTGACCAACACACGTCGTGGCTGGCCGCTTGACAACAGGACAGGTGTGCCTGCCTTCTGCATCGCTCCAGCTGAGAATCCGAGCGAAATTCGCTCCGCATTGTCACCGCAAAACACCCCCAGCGTTGCAGACAACTTCAACACGCAACTGCCCGTCGAAAATGGAGGCGCAGTTTCCTCTCGTGGTAACACCACGTTGAACTTGCCACTCCGACGGCGCCTCCAGGAGACTCCACTGTCGCCAGATAAGATGGACAGGCAAGGTTGCCGCTGTGTGAGCGTGAGTGCCTTGACGCGCTTGTCAATCTCGCCTGTGACTAATTGCAAGAATAGCTCGCTCGATGGCCCCAGCGTAATCAGACGCACGTGCGAAACAGGCACCTGCATTCGCAGCGGCTATTGTCCTTTTCAACCCTAGCATGGAGCCCGCCCACCCTGGCGTGGGGCGCTCTACCGCATTCGTGAGTGCAACTCGGAGCTTGATGCAAGACCATCATTGACAAGGATGATCTTGCATGATTCATTGTTGCAGTAGCCACCACGTGTAGCCACACGCGGAGACAAGATCTTCGAACAATACAGTCAGTTTTAAATGAGCAGCACGACCGGCGGAAATCCCAAGCATTGTCGAACGGCGCTGATGCGCACCGGTTTCGGATGAAGTTCGGAAGCCTTCTCTCGCACGATCTATCGCGTTTTAGCATGTGCTAGCATGGCGTGTGCGGTGCCCAATTTTCGTCTACTACGTGCGAGCACCGGTGCAGCTCCGGAGCCATGTCTGGAGCGGCCCGGACTCCGGGACATCGGAGCCGACCCAGATCTTTGACGTGCGGGGTCTAAATCAGATCCATCATGTCGTGCACGATCCGGAAGATTCCCGGAAGCTTGCGCAAGAGCGACTTATTGGGGAGCGCCAATTAAAACCGAGACCTAACCCTGCATCTCACGCTTAATAAACTCTCCTACAAATTCCAAGTTTAGCTACCCTGTTTTGTCAATTATTGAGGGACTGCGCGAAAACGGCTGGGGTCACGGATGTCACGCGTGTGACCGCTGCTGTCATTTCGGTGGCAAAAGCACAAGTCCTCCGCAGGATTTTCTCGAATGTCCACATTTGTCCAAGCTCCAGGCTTCATGTACGAGTTGCCTCGGAGACTTGTGGGGGTCCACAAGCTTCGTGATGAAAATACTGTCAGCGACCAAATGCGGTCGGTCACCTTGGAGATTTGCGTGCCGATCCCCTTTCTTGCATCCGTAGACACGCCACTGACGACTCCGTCACTGACGACTCCGTTATTCGATAGATACGCCGCAGTTTCGAGGCTTGAGCAAGGCTCTCGCGAAAAAGTGATTGCCACCTACAAACACTTTTTGTGGCGGAGCGATAGCTGTTCACAAGGTGCTATTCAAGTTCCAACCCGTCTGGAGGTCGTCATTGAAAGCACTGTCAGATCAAATCAACCAAGAATCATGAGATGGTGCACGCTATTGCATCTTGCCTTCCTGTTCTCCACTTGACATTGCCAAGTTGGACATGCTTAGGTGGTCCCATTGGGATGCCAATACATTGCTTGAAGCAGTGGGAGTTCCGGCGTAAGTGAGTCGTGCGTGTTTGTGACAGTTCGGTTTACAAGTCCTTTCTTGCAGATCCCGACAAACTGAAGCTGATTGGCCAATCGTTCCCATACTCAACTCCAGTAGAATGTTGGACGACCCTCGTCCAGTCAATCTTTACGCATTCCCTGCATCAATTGCCATTCCCCTTTTCCATCGGAAAGTGCTCATATCTATTGACATTAATACTCTCGCCAAGTCACCTTCGCTCCGTTCTCGTTGATGTAAAAAATTTCCATGCTAATACTGAAAGCCGGGGAGGTCCATTGGCTTCACCTGTCGGATGTGGAAGCAAAAATGTATTCAAACACCACTGAGAGAACGATTCCAAAGATTCTGTGAATGTAACAATTTCCCGCAAGCTCGCTCGGTGTTCGGTCCTCTCTGTGGACGTGAAGCCGCTCATAAAACGTAAGCATTGCCATATCGACTGGAAGGTGTTTGAGGTTGCAAGTACGTTCCTCTTAGGGGGTTCCATGTGCATGTGACTATAGAACCTTTCAACATCTCTGTCAACATCAAAACTAGACTTAGCTAGTACATGTAGTACGAGTGCATCAGAATCTAGCACGTAGATGCAGTTTCTTCACAAGGCGTAACGGTGTCTCGAATCCGCTAAAAGTAGCTTGTAGTACAACAAGCTTTTCCTTCATTCGCGTGTGAGCTTTTAGCGACTAGCATTAGCATGACGTCGTCTATGCGGGGTTTGTGGCCTGGACGCAAGAAACCAAGGAAGGAAACGCCCGAGGAGGTTCGGCAACGATATCTCCGTGAAATTCTGAGAAGAGAATTGGAGGACAAGAGGCGTGTGGAGCGGGAGATGCACAACGTGTGTCTAGTAATCGCCAATTAGTCGAGACTCTCGACTCGAGAGTATTGCATAGTCCTCATTGTTGCTTCGCTTTTGTAGCTTGTGAAGCAGATCAATGCTCTCATTCTCAAAGATCGGAAGAGTATTGCTGCTTATCAGCGCGTACGTAGCTTGCCTCATGTAGATGTTAACGCAGTCTTACGTAAATACTGTGCTTGCATGACAGAAAGTCAAAGATGAAGACCCGCGCAGCGTCTTCTACTATCGCATGCTACGTCGTGTAGGCCTGCCAGAAGTTCATGCTCGCTTCGCGCCATGGTTCCTCAAATCCAATCAGATTCAACTCAACCGCTGGAGTGCTGTGTTGTTCAACAGACTCGAGCAGGCTTTCTTCGCAGTGCCAGAACAGCTCTCAACCGTGGAAATCCGCATGCTTGCTCACCAAAAACACTACGATGCCATCATGAAGCCTGCATCTGCTGATTTAGCAGCGTCGGACGCATCGAAGACACTCGAGCCACGTCAAAAGAATCAACTCTTACTACAGCGAGCATTTCGAGACTGTTCCTTTCACGTTGATGAAGATATTGCCCGCAAAAGACAGCAACAGGCAGCAGCCACCGGCGTCAAAACGCCACAATCAAAACCACAATTGAAGCAACTCAGTGACAACCAAGAAGACGAAGTCGACAAGCTGGAATTAATTCCAGAAGTACCATTAGTAAATGCCCCACCAGGACTCGCCCCTCAAGTGCGAGGCCAGCTAGAATCTCATGGTAAACACAAGTTCTTCACATACAATGGACGCTGGAAAGATGGCGAAATGCATGGTGTTCTCGGAGTCTACTCGTTCGCTGACGGCGGCAAATATCGTGGAGAGTTCGCCCACAATGTGCCAAGTGGGAACGGGACCGTCGTATATCCGAACGGTGTGAAATACACTGGTGCGTTTGCAGATGGTGAGTTTCATGGCTTCGGCGTGATGGAGGTGGAGCGTGGATATCGCTACGAAGGTGAATTTCTAAGAGGTCAGCGTTGTGGACTGGGTAAACTGCAAATGCTTCAGAGTGGCGCTGTCTACGAAGGTGAATTCTACAATAATATGCGGCATGGCCAAGGCACAGAGACTAGCTCTCTCGGATACTCGTACGTCGGTACGTGGCGATGCAATCGCATCAGCGGGAAGGGCCGATTATTTTGCCCCGATAAACGAGAAGTTTTCCGTACGGATTGGCCGCCGTTGCTGCTTGGCGAGGCAATTCGCCTTGTGAAACGAGAGCAGGCAGAGGATAGTTGGCGACAAGAGCTCTGGTATCGAAAACTTCTTCGTGTTCGTGATGACTTGCGAGCTCTGGATCTGCAATATGCCTTCTGGGATGCGGAAGAAGCTCGTATGAAGCGGGAGAAAGAGGAACGGATTGACAACTTGAAACGGGCACGTCGCGAAAAACGCGAGGCTCAGGCGGCGGCGAAGAAGGCGTTCATGGAACAAGCAGAGCGTCAAGTAGAGAGCAGTGAAGGCAGCGATGACGATGAAGAAGATGATGAAGATGACGAAGAAAGCAGCGAAGGCGCGAGTGAGAGTGCTGAAGATGACAATGAAAGTGAAGACGGAGAGGACGAGAGTGAAGAAGATGAAACGGAATAGCCAACACATTTCAGTTCAAGAAATACCTGCTGTATGGTCTTTATCTTTTTTTATCTGCTTTTGCTAGCAAGCAAAGTTCATTTCCTTCTGGCGCTAAAGGGTTATTTTCTCGGAAGCCAAGCTGTCCTGATGCTCTAACTTCGTCGTTCGCTCGCGTCCGCTCCACCAAGTTTCTCCAGCTCAGCGTTAATCTCGTCCAGGTCCTTTGACTTAAAAGCCATAGCATCATGTCCAGCCGAGCCCGCGGAAGCAGGGCTGTTAAACGGCATCCCAGACGCAACAGCCGATACAACCGAGGGAGGAACCACACTCCCCACAGCTGAAATCGGATTCGGAACTTGGCTCAGAGGCGAGTTAGAAATGATCTGGCCAGCCAGAGGTCCCGCGAGCGATGTCACAGCTGAAAACACCGACTGCAGTCCAATACTGGCCATTCCAGCCACATCGTTCAACTACTCAAGCGACGACCAATACACAAGTGGTTAGTCATATAACCTTTCAACTATTAGAGCCTAGAAGTCCACCACTTACGTTCTGGGGTAGCTCTCCGAGTTGGATCGTCTCGTCCACACGGCGGTCCAAGAATGCCCACGTGTCCTGGAAGTTGGGCGACTTGTCGTTCAGCATGAACAACTCCGTGCTGGCGTAGATGCCCGTCAGGATGGCACGCTTGGTGTACCAGGATAAATCCGTGGACTTGTCGCCGGCGAAGTACCAGATCTCATCCGAGAGCATTGCCAGTCTCTTTGCGGTGCTAGGCGCGTTTTGTGGCAAAGCACCAATCGCCATACCCTGTGGCCATGTAGCCAAAACAGGCTCCAGCATCTCCAGACGCGCACGGACGCCGAATTTGAGCCGTTCAGCCACTGTCATGGCCTGCAGCTTCTCCGTGTTGACAATCAGCGTTTCACGCAGCTTGGCGAGGCACGAGTCCATGAAATACTCCACCAGCTCTACAGCCCCACGCGAGAACATGCCATGGGCTACCGACGGGTAGCCAAGGTCGGTGGCGCCAGCTGCCAGAGCCTCGATGGTCCATCTTTTCAACATAACAATGAACATTCCAGAACATTAACCTAGTATATCGCAGCTTCTAAAGCAATTGAAAGCGCTGCAAACCAACGCACCCGTGAGCCACCACGTGGCCCATTGCCTTGGCAAGAATAAGCTGCTCCGGGTCTACCTGAGGCTCCGTTTTGGGCGATTCCTCGCTGGCAGCAGTTATCTGCGTGCTGTGTAGACGGATTCGAGGAGTGGTCTGGAAGCTCTGGCGGATCGCAGACACGGAGGCAGCGTGGGCGACAGTGCGCTTGCTAGTGACGGCAGTGGCGAGACGCGCCGAGCGGCGGATGAGGCTTCTGGACGCCATTATCGCGAGGAGCATTGGCCCAACCTCACGTGAGCCACTTTAATATATTTAAGTAAGAGTCGGAGAGCCCAGAAAAATACTATATCTTAAAATTTAGGGACAACCCAAAATTGTAGAACTTTCGATGAAAATGTAGCTTGCCGTTGGATGGCATTCAGACGAAAAAAACCCATTAAAATTTTAATGGTTTTTTTTCGTCTGAATGCCATCCCGGCCAATCAGCATGCGTACCGACGAGTTTTTGGAACTATGTGGAGTAGGGGCCCTCCCCGGGCCAATCAAAATGCGTGACGCATTTTGACTAAGAAATAGTACTACGAATGTAAAATTAATCACGTTCTTCGAGACAAATAAGCTTAGGTAGTATTAGACTTGGTATTAGGTATTAATATTAAAGAAATAGTACTTCGTTGCTGGCTTACATGTAGTAGTAGTTCAAATCTAGTAGTTTCTTTAAAAATTGCTAGTTACTTTTTTGCGTTTTCTTCGGTTTGGTTTTTGGCTTTATTTTTTTGGGTTGGTTTGGGGATTGTTGGGTTTTATTATTTGCGTTACCATTGCAGCTTTTGTTGGTTCACCTTGCATTGGATTTCCCTTTCTTGCTTAGGAAAAAAAGCATAGCGGCATAGGAGATAGTACATGTAGGTGGGGCCCAAAAGTTGGGATTTTTCGGAAAAAAGGTTGGAACCTTCTTATTGAGGGGCGGGAATTAGGCAAAAAAAAGCCGTTCTTTGTAATTGAGAGTGCTGTAAGTGCATGATGTGCACCGATGTTGACGCCATAATAGTATCCTGGAGTAGGGGACATGGAATGTTCTAGAAGGTCAGTTTGATCGTTAATTCAAAACTTCGTTTAACGTTCTTCTCCTCTCTTTCGGCTCGTCACTTCTTCCTTCCTTGTCTTCCGTCTGGCTCACTTCCCCCCTTCCTCGATTTCCGCTCTCTAATTTCACTCTCACTATTTCGCTCCTTCTTCAGCCACACACCTTCTCGTGTAGCTCCTTGTCCTCAAGCCGCTACTGCAGATCGAGCTTGCTCTACACACGGAGATCGGTCGCGTTATATCTGTCCAGATTCGCTACCACCTTCGGCTTTAGGGAATTATGTCCTTCTGTCCTTCTGCAGCCGCGAAAACCGTCTCAGAAGGTGCCAACTCTGTATTGTCCGTATCAGTGAAGTCAGTTTTTTTTTCGTGCACAACGATAACGCTAAACGCACCCAGCTGGTAGCGTCCGGTCACTTCAGACACCAACCCCTTCTGACCTCCCACGACCTCTTCCGAGCACTTCTAACTTCTTGGCTTACTTTTCGCCGGGAGTTCTCTTTCTCCAACCCGGGGGAAACACTAGGTTTTTTCTTCCTTCCTCCGCCTCTCTCTACTCTCAAGAATTCTAACCTACAGCCTTATCTCAATTTTTTTTCTGTTCGTGCCCACACAAGCCGAGTCTCGCAAAAGGCCTATTACATTCCTCAGCAGGGGCGACAGTTTGATTGGTCACTGTATGACCACCAGTAAGCGACGTTCATGTCTTGCTATGCCCTTTCACTCTTTCGTGACCTCCTCTCGATTGAGCCCCCCCCCTTCCCCCAAGACAAGCCGCGAGCTAATGTTGGAATTAGCACGGGGTTCATGACCGCTGGTTTGGTTATCCCACTAACTCGCCGATTGGTTCACTGAGCTTTCCCAGACTTGCGCGGTTCCGCTTCCAGCAGCTCTTAGTGCAAGGCATGCCCATACCGCCAGTTGACTTTACACACTCATCTCTCTCTTTCTCTGATTAGTACGAAAGGTGGCTTCTTCATTACTTTTCTCTCGTTGCCTCTACCGAACTCGGCTTAGGCCATATTCCTTATTAATTTTCAGATTGTTCGCCAGTACAATGATGTCTGCACTGGCTAGTAATTTCTTGCCATACGGCTAGCACCCTTGTTGCACCTGCAACTTGCTCTCACCGACGCACTTCCATTACTGATCCTACGTTAGCAAAACAAAATACAGTTCCTTTTTTTTACAGTCTTGTTGTGGCTGTTGAACTTCGAGGTAGAGTTGGAATACGAGACTTCACCAGGGGTTAGATTACTTTAGAATGAGAAAGGATAAACCGTTCCAATCTCCAACCAGGAGATTGGCCGGATGAAAAACCTTCCTAGCAAACCTTCCTGCACCAACCGGTCTAGGTGCCCTATACTCACATTAAGCACAACACGGAAGTGCTCTTAGCCATCCTCTGCAACAGCATTATTACGGACTAAAGCTTTTGCACGCTGCAACATCAACGTGCTGTCTTAAAACTCCCTCGCAGCGTGCACACCTAGCTTCTCGACATTTGATTACCCGTGTCTCCCTCGGAGCGGGCTGCATCCGTCCCGTAATCAATGTCTGTTCAGCCACAGCAGCAGCTAATTTCAACACTTCAGTGGAGATCAACCAGGCCGCAACTTTCAGCAGCAACACACCTTCCTGGCCACGCCCAGCGAGTGACACCCGGGTCATCTGCCCACCTCAAACCCAGCAGGTCGCCATCATTCTTCACTACATAGCGACGCTGGTTGTCTCGGCGGCAATGACAACTGTCAGGATCACTCGTACCCCCCCAGTGAATCACCAAATCTTCTTCACACCCATTTCCCGGCGCAGGCACTCAAACCTTTCCTTGGCCAGTCCCTTAGTCATTATATCTGCAATATTCTCTCTGGAAACCACTTACGATATCGGCGGTGGATTGTGCTACGACACGCTGCTTGGGGGAGCTCCAGGTAACGGTACACCCACCAATCATGGTGACGTAGCCGGATACAGATTTTCGATCATCTTCGTTCGCTGCGTAGTCGGAATCAGTGTAGGTCTTGAGCGTCACATTTTCTCCACTAAATTCTAAACCGAAATCACGAGTTGACTTTAGATATCGAATGCAGCGTTTAACTGCCTCCCAGTGAGGTGATCCGAAACCATTTAGATACCTGCTAACATCTAGAACAGCGTATGCGAGATCAGGTCTTGTACCGATCATCTGATACACCAGGGAGCCTACGGCTTGACGAAAAGGCTTGTTGCTCATTCAGGCAATTTCTTCAACAGACCTGGCTACTTGGCATTTGGAGAGTGTCTTACCAACGGCGGTAGGCGTGTCAACGCCAGCACAGCGCTCCATGCTATGCCTTCTCATCACGTGGTCAGCATTTGGCGCTTGTGAAATCCATAACTTCCTAATTGAACGATTTCTTGTGATTCGAAGTCCAAGCCAGAAGTTCACAGGGCCCATGTCTTTCGCCTTAAAGGCGGCTCCAATTACTTGCTTCAAAGTCGGCATGGCTCCTTCCGTTTTTGAGACGAGCTGAAGGTCATCGACGTAAATTGCTACAATCTCTAATTCACCTCGGTCGCGCCGTGTGTATACGCATGATTCACAACTCAGCTTTTCGAAACCTTGACTGATTAGGAACTTTGTAAGCGCCTTGTGCCAGGCTCTCGGAGCCTGCTTCAGCCAGTAGAGTGATTTATGAAGCTTGCATACCCACGACTCTTTTCCTTTGACGATTATCCCTTTCGGCTGCTGCATATAAACCTCTTCTTCGAGGTCACCATTTAAAAATGCAGTCTCAATGTCCATTTGATGACACTCCATATCCTGGATACAGACAATTGCAAGCAACACTCGTAATGACTCCAGCCGCATGATGTGGGCAAATATCTCGTCAAAATCGATGTACCGTAATTCGTTTCTTGCCCTTGCTAAAGTTGTTTGCCCTCGCTCTCTATAGCCTCTTATTTCCTTGCTCAATTAGTTACTTGCTCCAGCTGACTCTCCTTCCTTCCAAGTCCGTCGACCCGTTGCTTCTTGCGCACTTGACTTGGGACTAAGCACGCAGCGTCACGTTCAACTGGGGGCCGCACCGAACTACTGATTTAACTGTGTTTGTGTATCTATTCACAAACACAATTAGCATGCATAAATAGTGGATGCTGCACCAGTGAAGTAGGTGCAGGAGATGCAGTTACCCCCCCCCCCCCTTCAGACCGGATGCTGCTTAATAGATTTGAAGGCTCAAACTGAATATATTCAGTTTAAGCAAAATTAGACTTGGAATTTGTAAATATGCACTTTCCCCCGACACAGCGGTATACAAACGTCAAGATAAAATTTTGTTTATATTCTGTACTCAGATTGAAGTGTGCATCGACCGGTGTTTCTCTAAATCCTAAATATGAATTTTGAAAGCACTTGTGCAACTGCATCTGATGTGCATCATTTGATAAAGGTCGTGTCCAACGTGTGGATAGAAAATAAAACCTAAAACCCTCACTCCTTCTTTTTGAATTCTTCCTCATTCCTGAACTCGCGCGCCAAGTGCTCAAGTCGACCAAAAGAATGGTGGCACAACGACCGCAAGTTCCGGACAACTCCTACGTCACAACCGACTGTACCAGGACGTCGAGTTTTGTGGTCCCCTGCAAATGTCAACGAACTTGACACGGAGATTGCCGACATGGAAAACAAGCTACTAGCCGATACCAACGACAGCTTGAACGAGGTGGACAGCAGTGAAGACGGAGAGCAGATGGAGCTATTGACTCCGGCGATGAGGTTGGCAATGATGACGTAGAGGCTGGTGAGCACGAGCTGGATGACGGATTAGGTGACCAGTATTCTCCAGTTAATGACGTCGACGATCGTGACGAAACTGCTGTGGATATTGCCTCTGAGGTGCTATTTGCTCAGCAGATCCTGGAAAGTTTTGTTGGAGAAGATGAAGTTCTGGCTAAGAACCTGAAAAACGAAGTTTTAAAGAACATGTCAGCATCTGGTTGGGAAGACGTTGAGGAACCCGATGTCTACGAGCACCTGAAGGCTCCGTACGAGCCTGTGGATGACACGGCTAGCTACCCAGGACTACGTCAGGGATACTCTGGCCCCTCTGCCGAAGCACTTCGGCATGGAGAGTCTCCGGTTGCCCTATTCTTCTACCTGATACCAGTGACTCTGTGGCAGTAAATTGCTGCGTGCTTGAATGAGTATCGCCGGGAGAAGTTACCGGAGCGAGTGGATGGAGCCTATCAACGCTATCGAAAAAAGCGTCACAGAGACCCA